GCGGGGCCCGAGGGCCCGGCGCGGGGCCCCAAGGTGTCGTTCTCGTGCCGCGGGGCGGCCGCGGGCCCCAGCCCAGCGCCAGCAGATGAGGCGGGCAGCGAGGAGGCGGGCCCGGCCGGGGAGCCGCGCGGCAGCCAGGCCAGCTTCATGCAGCGCCAGTTCGGCGCGCTCCTGCAGCCCGGTGTCAACAAGTTCTCGCTGCGGATGTTTGGCAGCCAGAAGGCCGTGGAGCGCGAGCAGGAACGCGTCAAGTCGGCGGGGGCCTGGATCATCCACCCCTACAGCGACTTCAGGTAGCTCCGCCGCGCCGAGGGGCCGTCCTTGGCGTGTCTGGAAGGCGGGGCGGCGCGCCTCACGGGTGACCTCGGGCCCCTCGGTGACCTCGGGCGAGCCCGGACCCGCCTCAGAGTGACCCGAGCGCTTGTGACTCCGCCCTGGAGGGGCACCTGGCGGTGACCCCGGCGCGCTACTGCCCACGCACCCTGATACCCCTCGGCGGCAGCGTGGCAGGCGGGCGGGGTGGGCGCGTGGCGCGGTCTGCAGGGGTCTGAGCGCTAGGGGCGGAGAGGACAAATAGAGGGGAACGTGGGCGCGGGGAGGCGGCGGAGCGGAAGGAAGGAAGGACGCCCGGGAAGGACGCGCACGGCAGCGACTGGCGGCAACAGGGTTAAGCGACCCCGCGCGCTTCCACAGTGTCCACCTGCGCCCCGCGCCACGGGGCGGTGCATCCTTCTCTGGTCCAGGCGGTTGTGCAAAGAGGGGCACTGTGTATGGAGAGGGGGTGTCCTTAGGAAGGTGGGTTTGTGGCCCGAGGCCACGTCCCCTAAACCAGGGTGCAGCGGGCGTAGAGTTGTTTCTGGGTATTAAACTTGGTCGGCGTGTGTGTCTTGGGCCTCGTACGGTCTGGGCTGTGGGTGTTTGTGGTTCTTGCTTCTGGGTGGGCGTTGTGTGGCCGGTGCGTGTGAAGGCCGCGTGCGCGTAGGCAGGGGTCTGGGGGTGCGGGCCAGCACTGGGGGTGTGTGTGTCCCTAGGGGTGTGTCTACAAGGTGGGCTACTTGTCTGTGTTGGAGTGGTGTGTGTGTTCGCGCGCTCGTGGAGTGGATGTGCAGGTGCCACACGTGTGGTCATGGAAGTGTGAGTGACAGGTGTGCTGGCGATGGGTGTCTGAGTTCGGGGTGTTGGTGTGTACGTGGTACGTCCCAACTGTCCTCGGGAGAACCTGGGAGGGCCGTGTGGTTTCAGCACCAGGGACAGCAGCCGGAGGCCTCTCATTGCCCTGGGGACCTTGTTCTGCCGGGGGTTCTCTCCTCCCTTAGGTTCTGACCCCAGAACAGGGTACCCCATGCTCCTAGATCACCAGAACTCGACAAAAGGGGTTGTGGAAACTCTCCCTTTCCCTGGTCCCTATTGTATTCCCTTTACAACTGGGAAAACTGAGGCCAGGGGCATACAAGTCAGAGATAGATCTTGGAGGAAAGTCTGGGAATGAGGTCCCATTCTCACCCCTTACACTTCCCCTAAGGGATCTAGAGGCATCCAGTGTGGTGGGGTGCTTCTGAACAGCCCCATATGGATGGGATCAGTACTCCTCAACAAATGGTGTGCTGGTAAGGAGAGCTGAAGTAAGCACCCCACCTGTGAAATGAGGGTAAGGAGAGACATTGGACTTGGTTTCCAGAGCTCCCTGTTTACCTGCCCCATCCCAATTGTCTGGAGAGCGACGTCAAAGCCATGGCAGGTAGGCAGAGAGTTCCCTGAGCCCTCCCATGACCCAGCAAAGGCGTGGTAGGCACACGCTAGAACTGCGTGCTCTGGCAGTCAGCCCCTCCTCCATCCTGGGGTGTTTTGGGGCTTCTTAGCTGAGGAAGGGATCCTGTGTAACTGGACTGAGGTGGGGTTGGAGCAAGAATGCTATGACTTGCTTGGGATGGGGGCAGCCCCACTCTGAGGGAAGGGTGGTCAAAGCTGAGAGAGGTGTCACCCAGGAGTGGGTGGCTGGGGCTTCTGTAAGCCCCGCTGTATGGGCAGCTGTGCCCCGTCCAGGTCCTTCTGATGGACAGCCCTGCAAGCGATCTCTGGGCCAAGTGTCCATCTAACCCTCACAGCGACGTGAGGTGGGTGCTGCTTCACATCTGAGAGAGGTGAAGGTTAGGGGCAGAGCTGGGACTCACACTGGGCAGGGCCACCTGGAAGCAAAGCCCTTTACGGCCTCATAGTCTGCGTCTAATCATGGCAGCCACAGGCAAAGGCTTTCTAGGGGTTGTTACAGATATGCCTAGACAGCTCTCCATTCTTGTGACAAAGTCTGAGCCACATAGAATTAATCCACTTTGAATCTTACAATTCAGTGGTATTACGTACAGTCCTTGTATTGTGTTCCCACCCCACGTGCTCTTCAAATTCTTTACCACCCTACACAGAAAGCTTTGCCTCCATCGGCAGATACACCTGTGGGTTACATATTAGGCTGCTAACCAAAAGGTCGGTGGGTAGAACCCACCAGCTACTCCATAGGAGAAAGATGAAGCTGCCTGGTCTGATCTGCGAAGATTTACAGTCTTGGAAACCGTATGAAGCAGTTCTATTTTGTCCTATAGGGCCATTATGAATTGGAATCAATACTTTATTCCTCTTTCGGGCTGAATACTATTCCATTGTGTGGATGGATCACGTTGTGTTTAGCCATCATCGGTTGAGGCACACTTGGGTGGTTTCCACTTTGGGGTAATTGTGAATAGGGCTGCAGTGAGCATTCTCTTCCATAGACGTGTGCTTGTTTGAGTCCCTCTTTTTGTTCTTTTGTTGTTGTTATTGTTAGGTATTGTTGAATCAGTTGCAAGTCATACCAACCCTGTATACGGTTTGTTGTTGTCGTTGCTGTCCAGATGGTTCTAACTCAAAGTGACCCTGTATACGCTGGTTAGTTTGAACCACCAACCTTGCAGCTCAAACCAACCTTGCAATCGAGTGCATGTCGTACAGCGCCACCCTCAGACTGCTTAATTCTCCCTTTTTTTCTAGGAATGGAACCTTTGTATACATACATACGTGCAAGCAGGTTTCAAGGCATTAGTGGAGAATTTCCATTATCTTTTCATTCCATTGTCCACAAGCTTTTTGAAACCCCCCCTTGCAAGTATGTGTGTGCGTGTCTGTTTAGCAGCTATCACTGAGCTGACTCCAACTCGTCCAGGTACAGCTGTGCTCCACAGAGTTTTCAGTGGCTGATTTCTCTAGAGGAGGTTACCAGGCCTTTCTTCTGAGGTGCCTCTGGGTGGCTGCAAACTGCCAACCATTTAGTTAGCAGCTGAGCATTTAACCATTTACACCACCTAAGGACTGTGAGTGTGTGTGTGCACGTGTGTGTATAAGGGGCTTCAAAAAGTTCACGGAAAAATTGAATTTGAAAATAGTGGAATTTTCCCACCAACTGTCTGAAGCCCCCTTGTATATGTGTATGTGTGAATACAATGTGTACGTGTATGTGAACACTTGTGTGCGTGTGTGTGTGTGTGTGTGTGAACTGTTTATGGAATGGGGTCTTTTATGGAGGGATTTTGTATTTGCCTTCCAAATGTGTAAACTGTGAGGCAGGTCTACAGATCCAGGTGCCTCCTCCTCCCCAAGCCTCGACTTGTAGAAGGGACAGTTACTGTCTGGTAACCTGGAGTGACCCCGGTGTGCCATGCACACGGGCTTCAGAGGATGCCAGCTGAAGGTGTCGGAGGGGTGGGGGGAAGGGTTTCCGGTGAAGAGAGACAAGTACAAGGTGTTGCGTGGTTCTGTGTATGTTCCCAGCAGGTTTAGGAGTCCAGGCCTGGCTCTGTGACTGACTAGGCCTCTCTGCTTCAGTTTCCCCAAATGTGAGAGAAAAGGGATTATCTGATTCTCACGGTTGTATTTCAGTATCTCACTGAGCTTCAAAGCTTCTCCTTCTGTCTCCCACCACCACCACCACCCCGCCTCTGCTGGGCCCTCCCTGTAAAGGATAAGCTGTTTCTTCAAGAGGCTCTTGGGTGCAGCCGTCCCATCCTCCAAACCTCTGTGTCACCTTCCCATGGCCACTCCCGCACCTGGAATGACCCTGTCCCATTCCAGTCCCTCCGCTGAGCAGAAACAAGGGGAAGTCTGTGGAACTTGCAGAAGGGCAAACCCCCTCAGCTCCATCATCTCAGGGCTCCTTGGGACAAGCCCAGAGCCAATTCCTTCATTTAGGACCCCCCCCCCGTGGTGGTGCAGAGGGTAAAGTGCTGATCACAGAAAGACTAGAGGTTCCCATCCAGCCAGAGGCTGCTTGGAACAAAGGCCTGGCCATTGAAAACCATACAGAGCAGTTCTCCCCCGACACACATAGGATGGCCACGTGGTGGACGTGGACGTGGTAGGAATGGGATTTTCCTTCTAAAAGCTGGTCCTCCAAGGGCTCGGCATGCAGGAGCTTCCGTGGGGTGTGATGGTGAAGAAGCAAGTATGGGGGACAGGCAGGAAGATTTGGGGTTCAGAAACCTTCCCCTGCTGGCCCCATGACTAGGGAAGGTTTGGTTCCCATTCTTTGCGCACCAAGTGTGAAGGAAGGGGAGTAGATGGCTTGGAGCCTCCTGGGGCCATAGCTGTGGCTGAGGCCTCTCCGAACTCCTGGGGTCTCTGTGTGCCCCAGAAAAAAATAACTACACCATCAGCTCATCAATGCCCCCCACATAACCTACCCCGATTCTAAATGCTCAAAGGGCTCCCAGGTGGCAATAGTAATGCAGGTGAAGGAGGAGAATGGTGTTGGGCAGGTGTGGGGACCCTGAAGCCAGGGAGGGACTGTGGGTCACCTGTGAGTTGGGGTGGGGCTGGGCTGAACTTCAGCCTCCCATTCTGGGCCAACAACTTGCCACCATGACCTCCAGGGGTGGTGGTGTGGGAGAGTGAGGCATGGGGTCTGGGGGTGGGCTCAGGTGTGTATTTTCTGGGAGCTCTGTCTGGGAGGAGCACAGAGATGGCAGGTGTTAAGTACCATCAAGTCAGTTTCGACTCTTAGCGACCCTGTATAGGGTTTCCAAGGAGCGGCTGGTGAGTTTGAACCGCCAACCTTGTGGTTCAAGCCGACCTTTGGGTCCAGTGTTTTATCCCACAGCGCCACACCAGGACTCCCTTCATCTCGGCCATCTGCCTATCAGTACCTATGAGGTTTGACTTCAGTCTTCCCGGTTACTGCTGATTTTCAGGTTCGCCTTCCTGAATTACAGAATTCCTGGTGGTGGCTGCTAGCTGAAAAGTTGGTGGTTCAAACCCACCATCCACTTCTCAGGAGACAGACGAGGCTGTCTTATAGGGTCACTGAGTCAGAACCGACTCGATGGCAGTGAGTTTACTACTGTAACAAGCAGTCCTGGTAGCGCGGTGGGCTAAACATCAGGCTGCTAACCACAAGGTTGGCAGTTCGAACCTTTCAGCCACTCCATGGGAGAACAACAAGGCTGTCTGTCCCCATATAGGGCACAGTCTCAGAAACACTACGGGGCAGCTAGACTCTACGCTATAGGCTTGCTGTGAGTTGGAATTGAGTTGATAACAGTAGGTTTTTGTTGTTGTTTGGTAGTGCAACAGTTAAGTGCTCTGCGGCTAGTGGACAGGTTGGCAGTTCAAACCCACTCCGTGGCTCTGTGGGAGTGAGAACTAGAGCTCTGCTTCTGTAAAGATGATGGCATGGGGGCTCCTGAGGGACAGACCTGCTCTGTCACGTGGGGTTACCATGACTCAGAGCTGACTTGAAGGTACCCAGTAGTCCCTAGAATGTCCCTGGTGGCCAGGTTTGGGTGGGGGAGGGAGAGGACTTGATCTCTTGCCCGGTCCTCAGAGGACGTGTGGTGCTGATGACAAGGGGGCCATGGAGGGGAGGGGGAAGGGCAGGATTGGAGGCCCAGGACCCCTGCCCCCGATGGCCTGGCAGATCAGCAGATCACAATGAGCACCCCGCTCTGCAAATCCTTTAGTCATTTGCCTCGGTCCTAAACCGCATAGCTGTGCTGGGGTTGCGGCCGAGGATCTGCTTGGCATTCAGCCATCAGGAGACAGACCCATTTTCCAGAGTGGAGGAATGAGGCCCAGGGCCTCCAACTGGGAGGAAACAAGGTCCTCTTCATGAAGGGCAGGGGTGGGTGACCAAGACCCCCTCCACACTTAGAGGAATCTTTGGTCACTGACTCTCTTCTTTAAGCAATTCAGGTCCCTCAGGCCCCCTGACCTGATGCCCAGCCAAGCTGGGAGCCTCTGGGGTGGGGGACACTCCAAAGGCCATACGTGACCTGATAGTCCCCTATCAGCAAACTCTGTGTCTTAGCCTGGAAACACCCAAACCAGCAAGCACAGACCACCCCAACTCCTACCTGCCTTGGCTATCAGCAGGGTGGTTCAAATTGCACTCTCCCATCGCCCCACCCCATGCCCTCTTAGAGCCCCCAACCCAAGCCCCCTGCCACTGAGTCAATTCCTACTCATGGCGGCCCCTATAGGACAGAGGAGGGATGGTCTTGAGCGTTTCCGAAACTGTACATGGTTAAGAGAACAGATTGCCTAGTTCTTCTCCTGTGGAGTGGCTGATGGGTTTGAACCATCCAACTTGTGGTTAGCAGCCTAATGCCGAACTCACTGCATCTCCAAGTCGCCTTTCCTGCCTACCCTCCACTCCTACCTCCCCTTACTCCCTCTGCTCTAGCTAAACCCCCCCCACTACAGTCACGACGCCCACTAAAAGTGAAAATCTCATTTCAGCCTCAGGACCTTTGCACTGGCTGTTCCTGCAGTGCTGAGCTCCTTCTCCGTCCTTCCCCCAGAAGCCCATCCCATTCTGGCTAAAGAGCTCACCCCCACCACCATCTGGCTGGGTCACAGTGTCCCTCACATGCATTGATCTGTTTGTGCACATCCCTCACCTGTCCTGTCCCTGCTGGAAACCCCAAGGTGGGTGGGAGTGTGTGGTTATGGAGTGTGGGGCTAAGGTCCTGGAATGTCTGCTCTGTCCCTGCAGTGTCTAGGAGCCCGTCTGTCATCACCCTGAGAGTCTCCCTTTCCTAATCCCTCCTCCTGCTCCTAATCCTTTAGCCCATACCTGGTCTAATCTAACCCCCAGCCCCTAATTCCTCCCAGATTTGCTCCATTTGTCATCCTGGCCTGCCTCCCGCCTGATTCTCCTCTCCTATGGGGTCCTGCCTGCCTGTGCCCTTCCTAACTGTCCGGGTGGGGTGCTGAGGACGCCTGGACAGAGCCTTCCCCGACACACATGGGCTAGAGAGGATTGGAGGAGGAGATATCGCTGCTCGACTCCAGTCTCTGCTAACTAGAGCTTCAGCCAACTCACTCCTGCCGCCAGGCCTCACTTTCCCCACCTGTCACCAGACCAATGATAAACTGATGCCATGGTGCTCTGGCGGCGGAACCCTCTGGACCCCTTTGGACCCCGCTCCTGGGTCCTCAGCTATAAAATCGGAGCCACTTGCCAATTGGGGGGCTTTAGAAGGGAGGGCCCTGAGCACTGGACACCCAAGCCCTAAGCTTTGGCCTCAGGTTCAGATTCTTGTCACTGCTGCCTCACCTCACTGGGCCTCAGTTTCCCCATCTGCAGGGTCTCTGGAAAAACTGGAGGAGAGACGAGAAGTAACCGAGCAAGGACACTTTGGGGAGGGGGGAAGCAGCAAGTAGGTGGCCCCTCAGCCCTGGCTAGTGCCTGGGGCCCTAGAGGTTTCAGAGATGAGCAAGTATCCTAGCTGGGGATCTGTGCCCACCCACCCTGATTCAGGGGAAAGGCGGAGTACTGGACTGCAAGCAAGGTCATTTGATTTTAGCCTTAACGAAGCAGGGAGGAGACCCCCACAATTGACCATGCCAGTTCTTAGCTCAGCATCTCAGCACCGCAGATGTCTTTTAGGGGGCTGTCCCACCAGCCTAACCCCCTCTCCACAGTGACCAGAGTCCCCAGGTCCACTTGATGACCCAGATCTGAGCGTGTTCAAGGGGTGCGCAGAGGTTGTGGTTTGCTGGGCTCTTCCCTCTTGATTTACGGACGAAGAGACTGAGGTTCCAAGGGGTTGGAGGGACTTGCCCAAGGTCACACGTGTTAGTGAGCAAGAGAAGCAGAGTGTCACCCCATTCTGCTGACGCCACCGTGATGTTCGACGTTGGATCCTTTCCAGACTTTGGCTCTTACAGATGGAGCTGCTGTGAGCATCTTACTACAAATTACTTTTTAATGTTATTCCTCCTTTTGGACCGTTTCCTCGTGCTCAAATCCCTGAAGTGGAACTCCTGGGTCACCAGGCAGGCGTGGTGTTAATAGCTCTTCCCTCGCAGTGCCGTCCAGAAAGATGGAGCCAGCTTACCGTGGCTCCCAACCCACACACTCACCTGGCTTTGTTATTGCTAGGGCCTTCAGTCTTCTTGGAACCTCAGTCTCTTCTTCTAGCAATCAGAAAGGAAGACCCCAGGAGGTCACAGGCTTCTGATAGTCCTTCCTGATGCAGTCACGTACGTGTGTGATGTGTGTGATGGGACCTTCAGGAAATGGTGCCGTGACCATAGTCATGGTGGATTGGAGGCTGGACCGAAAGACCAACTCCCTAGAAGCCCCCAGGCTTAATATAATTTCATAATATTAAGTAGGGCTAACATGAAATCCTATGGAGCTCTGGTAGTGTAGTGGTTACAAATCGGGCTGCTAGCCTCAGGGTCAGCAGTTCGAAACTACCAGGTGTTCTGCGGGAGAAAGATGAGGCTTTCTGCTCTCATAAAGATTTACAGCCTCGAAAACCCTGTACAGGGTCGCTGTGAGGCGGAAACGACTCCACGGCACATAACAACAACAACATGAAATCCTAGTGTGGTGCCTTAGGATAAGCACTGGACTACAAGGTTGGTATGAACCACAAGGTTGGCAGTTCAAACTCACCAGCCACTCCTCCGGAACCCTAGACAAGGTCGTTATGAGTGGTCACTGACTGGACAGCACTTAACAACAACAACAACAACATAATCCATGGTCAGGCAGGGAGGTCTCTTCCCTGCACCATTAGGAGCGAAATCAAATGATTGGCTTGGAAATTCAAGACACCCTTGCTGAAATGTGCATGGGGCGTGTCAGCTCACACACTCCGCAGGTCTGATTGGCTAAGACTCACTGTCTTGATTACTAAGGGCTGCCTTTGCCTGTGGATCTTCCTGGGTGACTGGTCCCTCCAACCATGTGCCCAATCCAACGATCAAAAAAGAAAAAGCAATCCATTGACATGTGCCATTAAGTTGATCCCAAGTCATAATGACTATTTAGGACTTCTAAAACTAGCAGACAGCTTCATCCATACCCCGAGGAGTGGCTGCTGTTGGTAAGTCAGGGCCTACCTTACAGTGCCACCGGAGCTCACAGCCCAGTGACAGATATGCTCTTTAAATGTCCCTATCCCTCGAGTCTTTCCCAGGTGGGCATTTAGACTTGACCTTGGGGACATGTGTCCCTTCTGGACGTATTTGGGAGGGGAAGCAGCTGGTCGTCACTTTTCACACGAATTTGCTATATTAAAGGTCCCAGGTCCTGTTGATCATGCCTCCAAGTCCTCTGCTCTGGCCCTGGCCCCAGCCTTGGCCTCTCTCTTGTCTCTTGGGCCAGCTCCCTGGCCACTTCTCAGTGTCTGACTCCCAAAGACGTTCCAGAAGTGGAAACACGGCTCAGCTCCTCAGGTTGGAGTTGGGGGGCTGTACTGCCGTGGTCCCAGCCTCTCTACAGGTTCTAGTTCTCCCTGCCCCACTCCATTGTGCTGTGGATCCAACACCCACGCGGTGTCCCTGCCTGGCCTCCTCGCTCTAAATTCTCAAGTACCAGCTTTTCTCTCCCTGGTACTCTTTGAAGGCCAGCTTGTGCCAGGCACATTGTCCACGGGTTTTTGATCAGGCTAAACATTTCATCTATTTTTGAGCGACCTCTTGGGCTCCTAAGGTCTTTAGATTCTTCAAGGAAGGGAGGTCAGAACTGGGCTGGAAGGGAAGGTTCGGGAGGCCTACAGGGAGGGAGTCCACACCAGTGAGGATGGCTGGGGGTCATGCTTTGTGGTCTGATGGGGAGGAGGGTCAGGCAGCCGGGAAGGTGCCCCTCTCGGGGCTGATCCTGGAGCTGTGACCTGCCCCTCGCCTCCCTCTCCCAGGTTCTACTGGGATTTCACCATGCTGCTGTTCATGGTGGGGAACCTGATCATCATTCCCGTGGGCATCACCTTCTTCAAAGACGAGACCACGGCCCCGTGGATCGTGTTCAATGTGGTCTCAGATACCTTCTTCCTCATGGACCTGGTGCTGAACTTTCGCACTGGCATCGTCATCGAGGACAACACGGAGATTATCCTCGACCCCGAGAAGATCAAGAAGAAGTACCTGCGCACGTGGTTCGTGGTGGACTTTGTGTCCTCCATTCCCGTGGACTACATTTTCCTCATCGTAGAAAAAGGCATCGACTCTGAGGTTTACAAGACTGCGCGTGCGCTGCGCATTGTGCGCTTCACTAAGATCCTCAGCCTCCTGCGGCTGCTACGCCTTTCGCGCCTCATCCGCTACATCCACCAGTGGGAGGAGGTGAGTGGGGGCCGCAGGGGCGGAGCTCAGAGGGAGCCCCAGGGGTGAGGGGCGGGGCCAAGGAGGAAGGGTGGGGCCAAAAGTCTCTAGGGGCGGAGCCACAGTGTAAAACCTGCAGTTGGGGCGGTGGGGAGGTGTAGGTTGCAGGCTGTGGGCTGGGCACAGGCAGGGCATGAAGACCGTAACACCGGGATATACCTCCCTCTGTCTTCATTCAGTCCTGTGAGAGTTGGGGTCCAAGCCACTATGGCACTGGGAAAAACAGGCTCGGAGAAGTAAAATCACATCCATTGCCCCAAGTCTAATGCGACTCCTGTACACTGTCCCTCACTGACTCTGTTTCTGAGGTACAGAGGCAGAGTGTGTGGGGCAGAACTCAGGGTCTTGGAGCACATCGGGGCTGGAGGTGGGGAGGGTGCACAATGGAAGCCAGGCAGGGGCCAAGGGGCTCAGCCGCCATTGTCTCCCCAATCCCCACCCCCAGATCTTCCATATGACCTATGACCTGGCCAGCGCGGTCATGCGCATCTGCAACCTTATCAGCATGATGCTGTTGTTATGCCACTGGGATGGCTGTCTGCAGTTCCTGGTCCCCATGCTGCAGGACTTCCCGCACAACTGCTGGGTCTCCATCAACAACATGGTGGTGAGCAGCCCACTGGGGCCGGTCAGCTGCACAGCCAAAGGCTGCAAGGGCCATGAGTACCTGGGAGGGGGCGTCCCACCACAGGTCCCCGTGAGTGCCCGGGAGGGGCGTCCCACCACAGGTCCCCGTGAGTACCCGGGAGGGGGCATCCCACCACAGGTCCCCGTGAGTGCCCGGGAGGGGCGTCCCACCACAGGTCCCCGTGAGTGCCCGGGAGGGGGCGTCCTGTCTCAGGCCCCCCCCCCTCCGTTAGTGCCCGGAAGGGAGCGTCCTACACCTCAAGTCCCTCATTAAGTGCCCCTGAGGACTATCCCATATCTCGAGTCCCCGATTAGTGCCCAGAGGGCTATCCCACGCTTCAAGTCCCCCATTAATGCTCTTGGGGTTGGCCCATCACACTGAGACATTACAATGTCTTTGAGCCTTTTAAACCCCAGTTCCCTTGGGGGCCCTTCCGAGGGAGTTGTTGATTTTTAATCAGTTTTGTCACCATAGAAAATCGGATCTACTTAAAACTTCCCTTCAGACTGACTCCTCTCTTTTACTTACATAAATTTGTTTTAAAGAAACAATTACATTGAGACTTTTGATGATGGGGAAAGTGGAATTTTGCCCCCTACGAAATGAAAGTGCCAAGTGGGAAGGCCCAGGTCTGGGTGGAGGCAGGTGTGAAGGCTGAGTTAGCACTGCACTTCCGGGGAGCAGGGACCCAGGGACATACGGAGGGGTTGGAATGGTTCTTGGACTGGGCACACAGCAGGTGGGCACTATTGGGGGAAGATGCTGCAGAGGGAAAACCCGTGGGTGCCCACTCCGGCGCCTGGCACAGCTTCCCGACTGAGACAGCCCATTGTCTGGTGGACACCAGCACATGTGGCCCCATTTCCTGACCACAGCCCGCTGCTCCCCCTGCCACCACCCCCCTCCACCCCTCCAGCCGGGGTCAGCTGAGGACTCGGGGTGGGGGTGGAGCAGGGCCGCCTGGGTGCCGCCTGGTGCCTTTGCCTGCCCTGTCCTGTCCTTCTGCTCTGACCCAGAGTCTCTGCTTGGCCTGTCCCCCAAGGCTCCTAGAACATTCACCTCCTCTGACCTCAGTTTTCTCATGAATGAATGGGAAGGCAGCTTCATGGCATATCTTCTCCCTGAGCCTCAGTGTTCCTGTCAGCAAAATGGATCTGACTGCAGCCACCGTCCCCCACCCCCACCCCCCATTTACAGTTCCTCTTGGTTACCTCTGAGCATCCGGAGCTTACCCCCCCTGTCACCTGTGAGTGGGTTGAGGGCCCCCTGGTGGTGAGCGCCCACCCACCCAAGCTCCCTGCCTGCAGAATCATTCGTGGAGCGAGCTCTACTCCTTTGCGCTCTTCAAGGCCATGAGTCACATGCTGTGTATCGGGTATGGCCGCCAGGCACCTGAGAGCATGACAGACATCTGGCTGACCATGCTGAGTATGATCGTGGGCGCCACCTGCTACGCCATGTTCATCGGCCACGCCACGGCCCTCATCCAGTCGCTGGACTCTTCGAGACGCCAGTATCAGGAGAAGGTCTGTGGAGGGAGGCTGCCCTGGGAGCCTGAGGGGGACGTTTGTTGTTGTTAGGTGCCATCGAGTCGGTACCACCCCACAATTCCATGTAGTCAGAGAATAGGGGGACCCAGGTGTGGGAGCCACAGGGGAGTTGTGGGGGAGAAGCAGGCAGGAAGGGTCAGGTCCACATAGGGTCTCTGGGCCATCTCGTGGTGAGGTTTTGGGTAGGTCTGATATCTGGGGTCATTCAAGGACACTGAGGAGATGGATCCACGGGGGAGGGTCTGGGGAGAGTGACTGGCCACCCCAACTTGGCCTGGGAGCCTGGGAAAGTCTCCATCAGGCTAACTCCAAGGTAGAGTCCTGGGATGGCACTGTAGGACCCGCACTGGACGGCTAACTGCAAGGTCAGGGGTTCAAACCCACCAGCTGCTCCTGGGAAACTCTGTCACTATTGTTGGAACTGACTCAATGGAGGTTAACAAACACAGTCCCAGGATGAGTGTGGGGGCCCCCTGAAGGAACAGGAAGGACTGAGGAGAAGCAGAGTCCTCGGGTGGCACTAGAAGGGTCAGGACTCTCAACTGCAAGGTCAGTGGTTCAAACCCATCAGCGTTTCCTCGGAAACCCTATACGGGGTCGCTATGAGTGGGAACCAACACTTAATGACAACAGGAGACCAGCATAGCACCAGGTCCAACCTCCGTGAGTTCTACTGTCTGCCTCAGTCTTGTCCTTCTAGGATAAGCCCTGGACCGCTAACCACAAGGTTGGTGGTTCAAACCCACCCACTGCTCCTCGAAAACCCTAAACAGCGTCGCTGTAAGTTGGAATCAACTCAACAGCACTCAACAACAACAACAAGGCCCCTCTGGATGCTGCCCCATTGTCCTAAACCCGGCCTTTATGGCGGGCCCAGTGCCAGGCGTCCCTGCTGTCCGGAAACGGCGGGCCTCACACCCAAACATGAGCTGGTGCCGCCACCCGCCCGCCGTCACGGGTTCTGCTGAGCTCAGGGCAGCTGCAGCTGGGCAGGGGGCTGGGTGGAAGTGGGGCTGGGGCTCCCCGGGTGCCCTTCTGGGATAGCAGGGCCTGGTACTCATGTGGGGAGCTAACCCAACCAGCAGGAAGGAGAGTTTGGGAGGGGGCTCTGGAATTTCAGGCTGGACTTGGGGTAGGGACCCGGTGGAACTGAGTGGGGTCACGGCCAGATAAAATCCAAGAGGTCTAGTTCTATTGGAAGGAGTCCTGGTGACGTAGTGGGTTAGGTGCTGGGCTAATTGCAAGGTCAGTGGTTCAAGCCCACCGGAAAGATGAAGCTGTCTGCTCTGGTAAAGATTTAGACTTGCAAATGTTGTACAGGGTCACGATGTGTCAGAGTGACTATGGAATTGTTGCTATGTGCTGTGGAGTCGGTTCTGACTCATAGCGACCCTGTACAGAGTTTCCGAGGCTGTAAATCTTTACAGGAGCAGAAAGCCTCATCTTTCTCCCGCGGAACAGCTGGTAGTTTCGAAGTGTTAACCGTGAGATTAGCAGCTCAAATCATAACCACTATGGGATTGTTGTTGTTAAGTGCCGTCGAGTCAGTTCCAACCCATAGGTGACCCTGTATAGGGTTTCCAAGGAGTGACTGGTGAGCTTGAACCGCTGACCTTGCAGTTCAAACGGCTTTGCAGTCTGGCGCATTAACCCACAGCGCCACACCAGAACTCCGTTGTGGGATTAGGTTTGGTTATATTTGAATTTCAGAAAAACAAGTAATATTTTTTAGCATAGGTATCTCCCAAATAGGAGCCCTGTTGGCACAGCTTTGGGCTGCTAACTGCATAGTCAGCGGTTCAAACACACCCACAGGAGAAAGATGTGGCAGTCTGCTCCCGTAGATTTACAACGTTGTGCTCAGCCCATACGTAAGGTCACAGTGAGACGTGGCATGGGCTTGGTGTATTCCAAATCTCGAATGGGATACCCTTATACTAAGCACTTTTCTTGTTTATGTGGAACCGTCACATGCTGAGTTTTCTGTATTTTGTGTTTGGTTGTTACTGTTGTGAAGTTGGGAGAGCCCCGGATTGTCCCATGTGGGATAGCGATCTGACTCTCCACACTTCCGGTTACAGTACAAGCAGGTGGAGCAGTACATGTCCTTCCACAAGCTGCCCGCCGACTTCCGCCAGAAGATCCACGACTACTATGAGCATCGGTACCAGGGCAAGATGTTCGATGAGGACAGTATCCTGGGCGAGCTCAACGGGCCGCTGCGGGAGGTGAGAGGCCCAGGGCGCAGGCGCGGCAGGTGTGGGGCGTAGAGCGGGCTGTGGACGGCGAGGGGCCCAGGGCGCAGGCGCGGCATAGGCCGCGTGGCGGGCGTGGGGCAGAGAGCCGGCTGTGGGAGGTGCGGGGCCCAGGGCGGGAGGCATGGAGAGGGGCCTGTGACTTTGAGCAGGTGACACCTGGGTGAAGCCGAGTTACATGTAGAGCACCTGTACACAGTGGGTGCTCACTAGCACAGGTGTGACTGTCATTTCCCTGTCCATCCGTCCATCCTCTGTCCATGCCAGATGTGTTGGGATAGCTGCAGGCAGCGCTCTTTAGTGTCTTCCAGTTCGGTGACTGGGAGCAGGACCCAGGTGTCCGCAGGGCTGAGCTCCCTCCTGAAGGACCGGGGAATGGTCCCCCTGGGCTTGGGGCCGCCTCAGTCCATGTCTGTCTTTGTCCTCACGTGGCTGTGTGCCCTCTGTGGGCATCTGTCCTGATTTCCCTCTTCTGAGGACATCAAGGAACCCTGGTGACGCTGTGGGTTAGGCGCTGGGCTGCTAACCACAGAGGCCCACCAGCCGCTCCCAGGAAGAAAGATGAGGCAGTCTGCTCCTGTGAAGAAACCCTCAGGAACAGTTGGACACTGTCCTATGTGGTCACTGAGAATCTAGGCTTGGTTATTTATATAAGGACACCCAACACTGGGCTAGGACCTCCTCCAATATGGCTTCATGTCAATGGAGGACACTTGCAGAGATTTGGATCGCCAGGGCTTCATCAGATAAGCACTGGACTGTGAACCACAAGGTTTTCGGTTCAAATCCACCAGCCGCTCCGTGGGATAGATAAGACTTTCTCCTGCAAGTATTTAAAACCTCAAACCCTATATAGGGTCGTTATGAGTCAGAACAGACGCTGCAGCACATAACAACTACAGCAGAGATCCCATTTCCAAATTAGGTCGCATTGTCATGTACCCCGCTTAGGACTTGAGCTTGTCTTTTTGGTGACACAGTTAGACCCTTAGCACTCACCAAGCAGTTATTGAGCACCTACTGTGTACCCTAGCCTGTGCTGCGCTGCAGTGGTCTCAGCCTCAGGGAGGTGGGGCTGAGCAGCTGCTCAGGGTGGGCCCACACAGCTGGGATGCTCAGCACCCATGGTCGGGGAGGGGATGTGTGTAGGAGGCCAGGTGTGAATTGTGCAGGGATTCGCCTAGGACATCCCCGGTGGAGGGCAGGACAAGGACAAAGGCCTCGGCCTCAGGAGAGGATCACTGGTGATGTGGGGTGGAGGGATCATGTGTACACATGTTGTTTTCCGGATGCAGAGTGATTTTCTCCATTGAAAGCTCTTTTGTGTTTGGCAATCGTTTAAACGTGGACACAGTTTCAAAGTCAAATCTAGAAAACACAAAACACTCGGGCAAGTCTAGCTCCTGCCCCTAACCCCCAGCTGCTCTTGTCCTTCCTTCCTTGAAAGGTTTTACTGTGATTGGGGAGAAAGTTTGCAGGGCACATCCGTTTTCCCGCAGACTGATTGCAGTTCCCACCGTATCACAGTGCTCTTCCCACTTCCTCCACACGTTTCCCATTTCCTTTCCCCCTCCTCTCCTATCCCGCCTGCCTTCTGAGCTTTTTTCCTGGGAAAATGCTGCCCTTTCATCTCCTAGGGTTGGTTGTTCTAGGGAATGTGTACACCCCCCCCCCCGTGTGATTATTCACCTCTTGTTGTTGTTGTTGTTAAGTACTGTGGAGTCGGTTCCAACTCACAGTGACCCTGCACAGACTTTCCAAGGCTGCAAATCTTTACACAGGAGTAGAACGCCTCATCTTTCTTCCACGGAACAGCTGGTAGTTTTGATCTGCTGACCTTGAGGTTAGCAGCCCGATTCATAACCACTACGCTACCAGAGCTCCTCCTCTAAGCCTGACTATTGTTTGGCTTAAAGTTGAGCCATGGGACCCCTTCCTTCTTTATTTTTGAGGTTTGAACACATTTATTTCTTGCCAGCTTTCAACTGATGATGAAACTCATTTTTAAAAAGAAGTCCCAAACATTTTCCAACCTTTCTCCTTCTCTTCCATTTGTGGCAAGTCACAAATAATAGTGCCTATTTTGAATATAGTTTTTCTTGATTATACAGATAATTTAGACTCAATGCAGGAAGCTTGGGACTTTCCATTGATTCTCTTGGGTTTTCCAGACAGTCATATTACCTGCCAAGAGTTATCATTTTACTATTTACTCTTCAAATGCTTTTTCTTGTCTGATTGTGTGGGTCAGTGTCGCCAATATGTTGTTGTTGTTGTTAGGTGCCATCGAGTCAGTACTGACTCATAGTGATCTTATACACAGCAGAATGAAACACTGCCCGCTCCTGGGCCAACCTCACTACTGTTGCCACACTTGAGTCCATCGATGCTGCCACTGTGCCAATCCATCTTGTTGCGGGTCTTCCTCTTTTTTGCTGATTCTCTACTTTACCAAACATGATATCCTTCTCCAGTGACTGCTCCCTCCTGACAATATGTCCAAAGTACGAGAGACGAAGTCTGGCCATCCTGGCCTCCAGGGAGCACTCTGGCTGCACTTCTTCCAACATAGATCTCTTGGTTCTTTTGGCAGCCCATGGTACTTTCAATATTCTCCTCCAACACCATAACTCAAAAGCATCAATTCTTCTGTGGTCTTCCTTATTCACTGTCCAGCTTTCCACATCCATATGAGGTTATTGAAAATACCATGGCTTGGGTCAGGCACACCTTAGTCCTCAAGCTGACATCTCTGCTCTTCAACACTTTAAAAAGGTCTCGTGCAGCAGATTTGCCTAATGCACTACGTTGTTTGATTTCTTGACTGCTGCTTCTGTGAGTGTTAATGCTTGATCGCCAATATGGTACTGTATATAGAATGGAATGTGTGAGCATCTTTCTTTATCCTGCCTTTGAGAGGAAAACATTCAGTGTTTGGCCACTAAGTTTAGGTTGAGATTATAAACCCATTTCAGAGATGAGGAAACTGAGGGTCCCTAAGAGACAAAACAGTCCCAAAGGCGTGGTGAAATAGTAAGTAGGGGCCAGGCCCATGCCCTGACACCACCCCTGCCTCCTGCTCCCCATTCGCACAGGAGATTGTCAACTTTAACTGCCGGAAGCTGGTGGCCTCAATGCCTCTGTTTGCTAATGCTGACCCCAACTTTGTGACTGCCATGCTGACCAAGCTCAAGTTCGAGGTCTTCCAGCCAGGGGACTACATCATCCGCGAGGGTACCATTGGCAAGAAGATGTACTTCATCCAACACGGTGTGGTCAGCGTGCTGACCAAGGGCAACAAGGAGATGAAACTGTCCGACGGCTCCTACTTCGGGGGTGAGTGTCTGGGGCCAAGGTGAGAACTGGGGAGGAGGGTGTAGGGTCACTAGGAGGAAGAGGTGGGCTCCAGCACTGCATCAGCTGAGGGCACATCCCTTGGCCACGCACAGAGATCTGCCTGCTGACGCGGGGCCGGCGCACGGCCAGCGTGCGGGCTGACACCTACTGCCGCCTGTACTCACTGAGCGTGGACAACTTCAATGAGGTGCTGGAGGAGTATCCCATGATGCGCCGCGCCTTCGAGACCGTTGCCATAGACCGGCTAGACCGCATCGGTGAGTGGGGGACTCACCTGGCTGGAGCGGGGCGGGGACTCGCGGACCCATCAACCTGCAGCGTTTCCAATTGCGCTGTGGCTCTTGAGGCAGCAGGGCGGCCCTGTCCTGTGGCTGAACCCTGCCGAGATGGACAAGGCAGCCATGCTATGTCACAGAAGAGGGGAGAGGGTGTTGGGATGGGGCTTCACTGAGATGGTGATACTGAGTGGGGACTGAGATGAATGGGTGTTGCCAGGTACAAGGAGGGGGGCGGGGAGGCATGTTCCAGCATATGCCAAGGCCCTGAGGTAGGTAGGAAGCTTGGAAGCTTGGGAAGGTCAGGCGGGCAGGGTCAGACCTACACAGAGTTTGGACTGTAAACCAGGAGCATTAAGGAGTCATGGAGGATTCTAGGCAGGTGGAGTACCTGGCTAGATTTGCATTCTTCAAGGGGGAGTAGGTCAGCAGGAGGTGCGAGAAGATGGTGGTCCTGCTCAGTGAAGGCTACCCATAGGTAAGAGGTTCCCAGCTATGGCTGAGGGAGAACCCTCAGAACTTGCTGATGACTCAGCAGCAGATGATGACTGAACCAGGGCTAGGAGGAGGTACTGGTGGTGCGGTGGTGAGACCACAGTATTAGCAAGTGCTCAGTGTGTCTGCTTGCCACTAGCAGGTGTTCAATACACCTGGGTATGTTGGGGGCCTAGGTGTATTTTCTGTGTACAGTAGGTTCTTCATACATGCTTGCTAGCTGTGGCATTGTAGGATAATCATTGAACAGCTAACCACAAGGTTAGTGGTTCAAATCCAGCAGCCCTGCCTCAGAAACTCTATGTTGTTGTTGTAGTTGTTAGGTGCCATCATGTTGGTTCCAACCGTAACAACCTTATGCACAACAGAAGGAAATGCCAACCAGTCCTGTACCAACCTCACGATCATTGTTAAGCTTGAGCCCATTGCTACTGCCACGGTGCCCATCCATCTCGTTGGGCGTCTTCCTCTTTTTCACTGACTCTCCACTTTAACAAACGTGATGTCCTCTAGAGCTGGTTCCTCCAGATAGTAGGTCCTAAGTATGAGAGACAAAGTCTTGCCTGGCTTCTAAGGAGCACTCTGGCTTCACTTCTTCCAACGCAGATTGGTTTATCCTTCTAGCAGTCCATGGTACTTTGAATATTTTTCTCCAATGCCATACTTCAAATGCATCAGTACAGCTTCCTTTTTCGTCGTCCAGCTTTCGCATACATCCGAGGTTATTGAAAATACTGTGGCTCGGGTCAGGTGCACCTTAGTCCTCAAGCTGACATCTTTGTCTTGTGCAGCAGATTTGCCCAGCGCAGTGAGTTGTTTAATGTCCTGATTGCTGCTTCCATGAGTGTTGATAGTGGATGTAAGCAAAAGGAAGTCTTGAAAACCTCCGTTTTCTTCTCCATTTATCTTGATATTATGGATCCAGTCATAAGTTCTCTTTGCTTTCAGCAAGCAAGAGCGTATCATCTGCATATCACAAGTTGTTAATGAGTATTAACTACATTCACAGTGTTGCTATGAGGCAGAAGAGCACTTAAAGGCCCCCACTTCCACACTGGCTAGATACCACAGATGTAGATCGTACACTACAGGCACTCAGTATCTGTCTGCTGTATACAGCAGGTGCTCATGCTTGTTCTTCACAGAAGGTGCTTCATGTATATTTGCTGTATACAGCAGGGGCTCCATGTGTTTGCTGCACAAAGAAGACAACAGACATCTTACTGTATGCAGGAGGCAGTGAATACTTGTTTGGTGTATACAGCAGGTACTTAACACCTGCATATAGCAGGTGCTCAGTGTGCACTTATGTGTAGTAGGTGTTCGGTATCTGCTTGGTACGCCTGGAGACACTCTGTGCCAACTTACTGCATGCAGCAGGCACTGTACACAGCAGGCGCTCATTTCGTGCATTGGAGGAGCACAGAGGTCTGCAGTATATGCTTGGTGTGTGCAGAGATGTGTCAGACCTGCTTGTTGTAAGTAGCAGGCACGCACTGCCTGTTCACTGTACTGAGCACCCCTATGCTTGCTGTGATGTGAGCCCGCGCTCCCTCCTGCGCTCGGCTCACCGCCCTTCTCCTCACCCAGGCAAGAAGAACTCGATCTTGCTACACAAGGTGCAGCATGACCTCAACTCAGGCGTGTTCAACAACCAGGAAAACGCCATCATTCAGGAGATTGTTAAATATGACCGGGAGATGGTGCAGCAGGCGGAGCGCGGCCGCGTGCTCTTCCCACCACCTCCACCTCCGCAAGTCACCTCGGCCATTGCCACGCTGCAGCAGGCCGTGGCCATGAGCTTCTGCCCGCAGGCGGCGCGCCCACTCGTGGGCCCGCTGGCGCTCGGCTCACCGCGCCTTGTGCGCCGCATGCCGCCTGCACCCCAGGCACCTGGGCCCACGCCACCTGCCGCCAGCCCCCCGGGCGCACCCGCCAGCCCCCGGGCACCGCGGACCTCGCCCTATGCTGGCGCCCCTGGCTCCCCTGCCGGCCCTCGCGCTGGTCCTGTGCTGCCTGCGCGCCGCCTGAGCCGTGCGTCACGTCCGCTGTCCGCCTCGCAGCCCTCGCTGCCCCATGGCGCGGCTGCGGCCTCCACTGCCGGCCCAGGCCCCGTGCGCCCAGCCAGCAGCTCTACACCGCGCCTGGGCCCCGCGCCTGCGGTTACAAGGGGCGCTGCGCCGAGCCCGGACTGCAGGGACTCAGCCTCGCCCGGCGTCACCGCCGGCACCCTAGACCCGCTGGACTCTGCGCGTTCGCGCCTATCGTCCAACTTGTGACCCTTGCTGCGCCACGCCGCCCCGCGGGGACCGGGCGGGCCAGGGCTGTGGGCCCGTCCATCAGACCAAAGCCATGCCATTCCGCGCTGCCCTGGCCCGCCCGCCCCACAAGCCATAGAGAGACGTAGGTAGCCTAGTCGGCAGGGCGAGCTGGGCCGGACAGTCCCCAAACATCCCAGGCTGGCCCTTCATCGCCCTGCACCCACCCCCATTGCCCCTGCCCTGGCGGCCATGCGTGCGTGGGAGGGGGCTCCCTTCACCTCGGTGCCTCAGTTCCCCGACTCTTGATGGGGATGGGGCCCGTGGCCGAGAGGAGATGGCTGTGGTGTCCTGCCCGCCCCGCCCTCGTAGGTCGTCCGAGGAGGGTTTTTTTTTTAAAAAGTGCAATATTTGCCCGCCGGCTTCCCGCTGCCCCATCACCCTCACGCAATAACCGCCTGGCCGTGTCTGTGCGCACTGCGCGGTGACTCCAAGTGGGTCGCCCGGCACCCGCCAGGAGCTGGGCCAGGGCTGTTCGGCTGTGCCCGGGTGTGGGGGCAGGCCAGGGTCCCCCGCCGCCCCGTTGAATGTACTGACCGGAGCCGAGAGGCACCGTGGCCCCCACGCCCGACTAACCCCTCACCCCCATTCCGCGCAATAAACGACAGCATCGGCGCCTCCTAGTGTGACTACTTGTGACTGTAGGTCCTTCCTGAAGGCAATGTGGCCGTGGGTGGTGACGTGACGAACGTTTATTTACACTATGGTACACTATGGTACAGGGCCCAAGGGACAGCCACAGCCGGGCGGGGACGGGGTGGGGAATACAGGGCAGGTGTCAACTGAAGAAGTACTTGGAAACCTTCACCTGCTCTAGGTCGAAGGTGCCTGCGGAGAGGGGTGGAGAGAGGAGCTGCGTGGGGCGGGGCCTCGGGCCGGCTGCCTCCAAGCCCCGCCCCTGCCTGCCCTAGAACCTCACCTGTCTCTGGCAAGGCCAGCAGCGTCTGGAAGAGCTTGCGCGACTGGAGGTTCTTGGAAAACTTGGAAGTCCTAGCGGGGAGTGCACAGTAGGGGTGGCGCTGAGCCCAGGGGAACACGGGGCTCCCCGGCCACAGTTGGCATCCGGCCTGGGGCAGTGCCTCACCTGGGAGTGGAGCAGAATCGCTTCACCAGGAACCGGGAGAGATCGCGCAGAATGGGCTGGCTGTGCAGATGAACGAACTGCTCACGACACACCTGGGGACACAGGAGGCCAGGCCCCAAGTTGAGGCAGTGGTGGGCTCAGGACAGGGGTCTGCCCTGGGGGCGGGGCCGGACAGGCACCTGGTTCATGATAGGGACGTCAGCTGCATGGGTCCAGAAGCAATCGTGGACAGAGACGAAGGTCAGGCCCTTCCTGCAACGGGGGCAGCTGGTGAGGAGGGGCCGACGTGCTCACGGTCACCTCTCCATAAACACACACACACACACAACAGCTCCTTCTGAGCACCAAAGCCCAGCAGAGCATTGCTCCCTCCCAGCTTCCCCCTCTTCTAGCAGGTCCCCCCACCCTGACCTCCCCCAGCTCTGGGTCCTGCAGCCATCACCCCCCACATGAACAGAGAATATGCCCAGAAATGCCCCTATGGGGTCACACCATACACCCCACACCACACCCCTAAGAACCTAGAGGAGACCTCTCAGCATAGTTCCCAAGGGCCCCATCCCCGCCTTGGCTGTGAAAGCACAGGGGTCCAACCCTCACCAGCAGCACCCACTCGTGGACCTTGGCCTTGAGGCTGCCCCCCACCCGGGCAGGGTCCCCCCACCTGTAGCAGTGCAGCGCAGTCAGCATCATGTGGGTGGAGTCCAGCGAGTGGATGAAGTTGGGGGGAAAGCCGTTCTTCTGCTTGAGTGTGTTGGGCCTCCTGGGGGTCCGGGGAAAAAGTGTGCTGAGATGGGGCGGACACCTGCCAGGCCCCCCAACCCCCACCTCCGCCCCAGTCCAGAGGCGCCCAGCCCCGCTCACTGGCTGCAGTCGGAGGTGTAGTTGAAGGTCATGCTCTGGAGTCCACCATTGATCTGTGGGGGTGGGGAGCGTGGGTGAGTCCCGGCTGGGGCTGGGGAGGGGGCTGGGATGGGGGCTGCACGTACCAGGAACTTGGAGGTGCGGTGGTATGGCTGGATGACAGGAATGCCCAGCGGCGTGACCCACTCCACAGCAGAGCCCAGATGGGAGATGAGGCGGGCACTCTCTGTTAGCCAGTGCTAAGGGGACACAGGAAGGGCTCGGCTGAGTGTCGGGGAGCCGAGGGGGGAGCACAGGACAAACAGGGAGCCTAGGAGTACAGCCCACCTGGATGGCCCGGGTGGCAGAGAACATCTCCTGGAGACTGTTGAAGACCTGCCGCACGAGGTAGTGGGAGGCTTCCCACACGAACTCCTGGGGAGAGGGTGCAGGTGGGTATGGGCGAGGAAGCTGAGGCCCCCCCACCTACCCCCAGCAGAGCCGAGTCTACCTGGGGGAAGTCATGCAGCTCACGGAGGCGCTTCTCAATCTGCAGGCGCCCGCCGTAGCGCGTCACCCCGTACACCACGGTCATCACCGTCTGCTTCACCACCTTCCGGCTCACGAAGCCCTCGAGCACCTGGGCCACACGCACGCCCTGCTGGGCGTCCTGCTGGCGGAACACCTCGACCTGCGCCGCGCGGGTGAGGGGGGGGCGGCTCAGCGGGGCTGGGCCCCCTCCCACTCTGCCTTCCCAGTGCCCGCCCCAGGGAAGCTCCCAGTGCCTGAAAGCCCACCTGTGCGGCCACCCCACTGTACACATCCTGAGGCAGGTCCGAGGGCGCCAGGTTGACGGAGGCAGCGCCCACACTGTCGCGGCCCAGGGCAGCATAGTGCTGTAGGCCGTTACAGGAGCCGTCCTGTGAGGGGCAGGGGCCAGGCAGCTACTGGACTAGATGCTGGGCCCTTCCCGGGGGGGCACAGACCCACCAGGTCCAGGCTTCTGTCTAGGGCACTAGCCCCCAACCCCTCACCCCCTGTGGCCATGTGGAGACCTGAGACCCTCCAAAGCAAGATGGCCACACACCTGGTGGACAGGGAAGTGGGAGATGAAGGCAGCGGGGTCCGGGGAGCGCACGGCTCTTGCGAGCTCCATGCAGCAGGCCAGTGTCTGCCAGGGTTCATCCGCCTCCATCCACCACTTGCGGCCCTGTGGGCAATGACAGCGGCATGAAGTCCCGAGACAGAGGTCCCAACCAGTCCTGGGGGGGGTCCACAAGCACAAGGGGAGGGGGCAGAAGGAAAGGATACATCTGGGGGGAGCAGCAGTGGGAGTCAGCAAGAATAGCTGTGTGTGAACAAGTGGGAGAAAAGGCTCTGGAACCAAGGAGGGACCAATGGGCTGGGACAGGGAGAGGTCCCCAAGGGGCAGACTGGGGCGAGGGCCAGGACCTGAGGGGTAGGGGAGAGACCAGGAGATGGAGAGACAGAAAAGGACACAAGACGACGCAGCCTGAGCAGAGGGAGGAAGACACGGAGGGAGTGTAAGACAGAAGCAGAGAGAGTCCCCGCACCCACCGTCATGGGCCGGTCAGCAGAGTCCAGGATCTCGTCCAGCATCTGGTCAGCGAAGGCCAGGCGCATCTGCAGTGACTCCCGCTTCTTGAGGCCGGTGAGGTTGACCACGTGCAGTTTGAGCCAGTCTAGGCCACAGGGGCCGAGGGGGCGGCCCTGAGCAAACTCCAGGAGGGCTCGGGCCAGGTCACTACCCAGGTGGCTAAGGTGGGGTGGGCAGGGGTAAGTGCGGCCTCGGAAGTCCATGTTGTGGGGCAGCCAGAAGGCGCTGTGGTGCCGCAGGTGCTGGGCCAGTGAGAGGCGGTAGAGCGCGTCGGCCCGCAGGCTGCGCAGTTCACGGGTCGCCTTCAGGCAACGCGCCGCCTCCCGACGCAGTTCGGCCAGGCGCGCGGGTGGGGTGCCCGGCGCAGGGCGACGGGCCGGTGGCCTCGGGGCCTCGGAGACCGGGGGAGGTACACCCAGGCGGGAGCAGCCCTGGTCGTGGAACAGCCCCAACACCAGGTCGAGGATGGCTCCGTTGACACGCCAGGCGCAGTTGCCCAGCTGGGAGAGGGCGTCCAGGGCCCCGTGCAGTGTGGCGGGCGGGCAGCGCTCCAACTGCCGCTGGTGTTGCAAGGTGCCCTCCACAGCTCGCATCAACTTGGCAGGGCTCAGGAGGAAGGCGCCCGAGTGCGGGGAGGTCCAGGGCAGTGGCGGGCACAGCATGGGCACCTCGGCCGCTTCGAAGGTCAGTGTGGGCTCCCCCGCAGTCGCCAGCAGCTGCGAGAAGGCTGGGTGGGGCTTCACAATGCCAATCTGGGGCGAGATTGACATCAAAGGGTGTCATGAGTGGGGCGACCAGGGCACGGGAAGGATGATCTGCCGGGTCAGGGGGTGCGTTCCCAAACTGGGCTGAAAGGTCCCGGTAGAGTGGAAAGCTGGTCCCAGAGGCCTTGAAAGATCACAGGAGCCGAAGTTTCCCAACCCGCAGGTACCCCCCCGCGCTACGCCTCCTTCCCTCCCTTCCCACCTGGCGGAAGCTGCGGAAGGAGTACACGTGATACAGCACCGGGACGAGCTGCTCCACGCTGGCCGGTGCGCCCGGGTTGCGAGGCATGCGCACAGCCTGGACCAGTAACTCAGCCAGCTGTTTGCCCAACTGGAGCAGCACCGGCAGCGGCCAGGGCTGTTCGGGTGGGGGCTCGGGGGCGGTACCCCCCAATGCTTCCCAGTGCTGCCGCGGCAGGCAGGGCGGCTCCACCTGTGCGGAGGGAGATACCATCAGGGGTATGGTGATGCTGGAGCCCCGCCCTCCTTCCCCGCCAGCTTCGTCTATAAAGGCGTACGAAGGCTGTGATGGCCAGAAAGCCCTTAGTTCACGCAGACAGGGCGTGGTCAAAGGGCTAGGTGTATAGACATAAGTTCAGCACAAGGCTCCCTCCCCTGGACTTGGTGTTGGACTCCCGGGTCTCAGACAACTCCTAGCCCCCTACCTGGGTGTCGCAGGCCAGCAGACGCAGGTACTCCGAGTAGCGTTGCTGTAGCGCCTGTACCTGCCCCTCCCGCTGCTTCCGCTGCACCACGTGGCGGTTGAAAGCCCGCATGCCCAGTTCGTGAGCTAGGTAGATGAGCGACTCACCCTGGGGGGGCAGCACCTGCAGTACCTGGGGGGGAAGGTTTAATCACACACTCCCAGAGACCCCAGGACCGGCCTGGCCTAGGGGTGCACCTCACAGGAGGGAGACGGGCCCTCTTACGAATACCACCACCCAGACGGAAGGAAGGAACGAGAGATGGTCCCCTGGGCCGCTAGCTGGGACGGCCGTAGAACTGGGCCTGGGTGGTCCTCAGCTTTCCCCACTGTTGGGGGGAGGAGGGAGGGAATCAGAGTCGACTTAACGACAGGATGGGAAGGAGGATCAAACCAATGCGATTTCTCCGTTTAAGAGAATCTGGGATTTTTGGATGGGTAGTTCCTCTGCTTTTACTCTACTGGTGTGGCACCGTAGCATCAACACTGGACTGACCGCTAGCCACAAGGTCGGCAGCTCACACCCACCAGCTCTTCCTCAGAAACCCTATACAGGGTCGCCCTGATTGAGAACCAACTCAAGGGCACTTCACAGGAACTGCGGGATTTTCCAAAGGGCAGGCAATTGGGGACCCGGAAATTGGTGTGCAGGCCCCGCCCTCCGCCCCGCCCACCTGCAGTAGCATCTGCACCGTTTCCTGCTCGCCAAGCAGACACAGGTGCGGGTAGAGCGAGGGGCGACCTTCACGGCAAAGGCGTGCCAGGTTGGCCTTGACCTCCTGCAGCTGCTGACCCAGCGCCACCTCCCACTGGGCCCGAAGACTCCTCAGTGTCTCCCGCTGCGGGAGGACGCACGCAGTCAACAATGAGGCTGCCCGTCCCGGGAGAGAGGACCGCGGCTCACCCCACCAGCCCCAGGGGGCATCCCGGCTCCTTGAGGTCTCCGTGTGAGGTCTCCTGTGGAGCACCTAGCGCCATGCCATTCCCACAGGGCGGCTTCGTGGGGTACCCTTGGCAACTGTCTGGAAGTTTCCCAGATAGCTCCCAGGTCATCCTCTCCCTCCTCACTGAAGTCAGTGGGCGATGGGTATGTCCAGGTGAGGGGAGGCAGGGAGGGAGGATGGGGGAGGGGGAGGGGAGAGGCAACACAGCCCTTCCCCCATCCTCCCGGGTCACCGGGGTCTCTCACCGCAAGTAGGACCTCGCTGGTCAGGGGCGGGGCCTTCTCCACGGACTGCACCTGGACAGTAGTGGCCATCTCAACACGCAGCTGCTGCTGGAAGAGGTCCTCCAGCGTCTTCAGCGGCAGGTGCAGTTTCGGGTAGGCCACAGGGCCGTCCTGGGGCCAGTGGGAGTGGGGCAGCGTGAGCACTTGATCCCCTCACCCCACCTGGCCCTCCCCACTCGTCCACCAGCAGGCTCACACCCCCATCTGCCAGGCCTGTGGGCACTATCGCTGTTGAAGGCAGAAGGAAGTTGAAGTAAGGCAGATTCAAGAAGCCTGACCTCCCCCGACCCCACCTCACTGCCCTTCCCCAGGGAGCCACAGGGCCATCTCAGGGTCCACACCCACGTGGGACCATCCACGGTGTCCCCAGATGTTTGCTGCCTTTGTACACTTGGAACTGGGTGAGCGTGTGACTCTCCCAAAATAAACAAGCTAAAAATAGAAGCCAAAGCCCAATACAGCCTTCTAGCTCTCACAGCAGCCCTGTCCACCGAAGCCAGCCAAAGGGCAGAAATAATCCAAGTGTCCAGCAGCTGGGGAAGGGCAGTCACCATGTGGTCCAGCCACAAGGAGGCCTAAGGCTGACCCACACACAGGACAGGCGCAGCATGACGCCCCCCCCCCAGGATAGATGCAGAGTGGCAGGCACTGACAAAGCCCACTCAGGGTTGTCAGGGGTCTGAGGAGCAGCAGCTGATGAACACAGGGTCCCTTAGGGATGGTGCAACACTCTGAACTGGACAGGGGAGCCAGCTGCCCAGGTCTGTGACTACTCTGAAAGCCAGTTGTTGGCTTGATAAGGATGGAAGTCACACACACACTGCTGGGCCCCAGGAGCCAGGGTCGGGGGTCGGGATTCCTCCCACCAACCCCCCGCTTCACTTCTGGCTGCCTATTCCAGCCTTTGGGCGCTTCTGTGTAACCAGTAAGGGCCTGTCTCCACCTCTGCTGGGGCCCACCAGGCACGTCCCTAAAGCTGGGATGAAGCAGCCAGGGGCCCACCTGGGTATAGATGTCCCTGAGCAGCTGTGACTTGTTGACCTGGGGCGGGGGCCGCGGCGGCAGGTTGAAGGTGGGTTTGACCTTCCGCACGGCCATCAGGAGCGCAGCCCGATCCTTCTCGGTCATGGGCACAGCCGAGAAGAGCTTCTGAAACTGCAGCTGGTCCCGGGCAATCTGATCCAGACACCTGGGGGGTACATGTGAGTGGTCCACCCCTCAGGCACCCTCAGGCCTCCACCTGCCCCGTCATAGCCCATGGCCACCTCTTCCTACCAGTACCTGCCAGGCCGGCCAGCCCCACCCCACTGAGGACCCTGGGAATTACCCAGACCTCTCTGTCTCCTTCCCATTTCAAAGCTGCAGTTAGGGGGCAGAGCAGTCACCCTCCTCTGAGCTCAGTCCCTGGTCAGCCCTGACCCAGATGAGAAAGCTACAGCTCAGCGTTACAAGACCCCAGGCTGGGGGCTGCCTCCACCTGTCCCCCACATCAGTCAGCAAGGCTGGAAGCCGTGAAGACAGACCTGCAGCTGGATGGTCCCTGCCCTCTCCCAGAGCCTGCACAGGTCTTGGGGTGGGGAGTGAGGTGCCTGTGACACCCTACCTTTTGATGGTGTTGGCATCCTGGTCCAGTCGACCCATGCACTGGAGGGCAGCCGCGTAGGACAGCAGGTTGGGGGTGAGGCCAGCGTCCTTCACCATGAAGAAGATGTAGACCAACTCTTTGAGGGAGCCCTAGGGAGTCAAGGCAGGGTGAGAACCCCTCCCCTACCACTCCTTCCAGACCCCGTTCTGTAACCAAGAATCAGGAGGTGAACGATGAACAAACAGACACGGATAAACAGCAGCAGGAGCCATCACTGGGGGGTGTTAGGGTTCATTTAGGGGAGGGGGGCTTAGTCAGTATATTTCCTAGTTTTATTTATGGACAGATGTGCATAACTTCAAGGCTGCTAAGAACTGACTCCTTTTATTGTCTGCCAAGGGTTTGTCGATTTCTACAAATCTTTTTGAAGATTTTGTTGTTTTTCTAGTCTTGTTTTCAGTTCAATCTTTATTTCCTTCCTCTGCTTGCTTCTGATGTAGTTTGACCTCCCTTTTCTAGTTTCCTAAGATTAGAAGTTACGTTAGCAGTTTGAGATATTCTCTTCCAGTGGTACACTCACAGCTATGAATTTCCCTCTGTGCACTGTGTTAGCTGCACCCTGGAAGCTTTGGCAAGTCGTGCATTCATTTTCATTCATCTCGTTATTTTCTCATTCCCTTTGCAGTTTCTTCTTTGATCCACTGGCTGTTTAAGAGAGTGCTAATTACAGATCCCCTTTTAAAGGGGTAAACAAATTTCCCCAGTATACTCCCATCCCATAGCTCAGCAGCCCTAGAGAAATCTATTGGTGTGGTTAAGTGCCATCGAGTCAGTTCCAACTCAGAGTGACCCTGTATAGGGTTTCCGAGGAGCAGCTGGTGGGTTTGAACTGCCGAGTTGTGGTTCAAACTGACCTTGCAGTCCAGCGCTTTATCCTACAGTGCCACTCCAGGATCTATATGAGATTTCAAAACGCGGAGCACAGATGTACATACTATGTGTGGGCCAGTGCGGTCCCGCGGAACCTTGTGCTAACGGAATTGTTCTATATCTGCCATGTCCAGGCGGCACCACCAGTCCTGGGTGGCTACTGCATACTGGCGATACAACACGTGTGACTGAGAAACCCAGGATTTCACTGGGATTTAGAGCAAGTGACCTAGCTGTAACTGCTTCTCTCCATCCAGAGCAAAGGAGGACTAAGAGGTCATGTAGACCTTAGCCTCCATGGTGCTGAGACCAGAACAAGACAGTGCCGGCTACCACTGCTGACCACTCTGAAAGGGGTCACTTCTAATAGAAGATCCTGGATAGAGTGGAGTTTGAGTTTGGAACCAAACTCAGACTCGTACAAAGACCAGGCTTACTGGTCCAATAGAGACTGGTAGAACCCCCAGGACTACGGTCCTCAGACACCCTACCAGCCTGGGACTGAGCTCACCCAAACTATCGACAGGCCTGTCCGAGGAGCAGCTCTACCAGGCAGGTGCACACGCCTTAGGTCAGCCAGTCACAGGAGACCGAAAGGGCAGCGTGTGTCCAGGGAGAAAGCTCAGGAAACAACAGGAAAAATGGACAAATGCAAAAGGGAACCACAGTGAGCCAGTGGAGAGAAGGCTGAGAAAATGTAGGAATTGTAGTCAACATCATGAAACAAAATGCATGTGAATTGCTGAAAACCAGTGTGCCCTGTAAACTTGCACTCAAATTACAATACAAAGGCTAAATAAATAGATAAGCGAGTAAGAGGCAGAGATGTAGGAAGATAGATGTCAGGCTGCATGAAGACCACCACAGAGCCAGGAATGGAAGCTAAAGACATGAGGTTCCCCCCAGAACCCACAGAGTGAGCACGCTTTCCCCTAGAGCCAGCTCCCTGCTCCCTGACTCTAACTTCTACTGTGTCTCCCACACGATGACAAAATCAATTTGTTTGTTCAAATCTAAACAAAATGATCTTAAGTGATGATGACTGTCAACTCAGCTAAGATCCTCTATCCAGATGATCACTAAAAACCCTTAAGTACTGCGGTCACCTAAAACAACAACATTTCTCTAATTAGCAATGTGGAACCATGGGGTAGGAGGACTTTGGGGATCCCTCCCCCTATGAAAGGTCTCTGAACTACAAGGGGGAACAGGAAACACTTAACAATGCAATGAAATCCAAAGCACCCCGTGTGTGAGATGCAGCTGAAAAAAGTGCTCAGAGGAAATTTTAGGGCCTGTGTTAAAGAGCCCTAAACTAATAATCTTCACCTTAGAAACCAGACAAAGGAGAGCAAGTCAAATCCTCATCCTGAAGAGGGGTCTGTACACGTCCCTGGATGCCCGGACAGAGGGCCATGCACTAGAACCGTAGGCAACACATCTCCCATCTTTTTTCATTTTCAGCTTTCGTTTGAGGCCCATGGATGATTTATATTTGAAAAAACTCAGTGTTATTAAGACAGTAATACACACAGCCCTTGAACTTTAGGGCTAAGAAGACAAAGGTCAAACCCAAGTGCTCCCCAGTGGTGACTGGGAGGTAGAGGGCAGACCCCTTCCCATCCCTGGGCCTGTTTCTAGCCCTAATAAGCGGGGTGGGGTTTTGCACGGGAATCTTTCTCCCTGTGGCCTGCGCCCTCGGCCGCTGCTTACCTTGCGAGCCCAGCCCAGCATGACGGTGTTGTACATGTCCAGTGTGAGCAGCCGCCGGCGCCGGAAGTGCCCATGCTGGGTGACCAGCACGTGGTGGGCCAGGGGCAGGTGGTCTGTGAGCAGACAGCACTGGAAGAAAGCCAGGAGTTTCTGCCGCTGGCCTGAGAACTGCGTTTCGGACCCCTTGTCTGCCAGGGCCTGGGCCTCTTCACGCCTCAGCTTCCGCGGGGCCTCCTGTAGCACTTGAGCCAGGGGCTCCTCCCAGGGGCTGGCAGGACCCCCTCGTGCCCAGTGCTGTAGGCAGCCAGCCAGCTGCCGGTTCTGGAGCTGTGGCTCGACACGCAGCGGCCGCGGGGGCCGCTCCCGGGGCAACTTCTGCGCGGAAGCCTGCAGCTTCACCTCAAGCCGCTGCTTGCGTTTCTGCATGATCCGCTTCTCCTGGTCCAGTTTCTTTGCCCAGCGGCCATGGAGCTCCGGAGCGGCCCACACCTCAGCCTTTCTGGAGAGCTGGATGGCACCGCCATGTCCCTCTGGGGTTCGAGCCATGTCCACCCTCTTCACCGTCACCTCGGACACAGACTCAGCCTGCAGCTGTCGCACCCGTTCCTTGAGCACTGTGGGGGGGTGGTGGGGGTTAAGCATGAGGGGTCAGCTCAAATTGCCCTGGAGATGCCCCCTGGTCTTGAGGGTTTAACTCCATGTATTTGCTGACAGCTAAGGAGTCCTGGGAGGCCTGGGGTGGCGCTGTGGGTTAATGCGCCAAACTGCAAAGCCGTTTGAACTGCAAGGTCGGTGGTTCAAGCTCACCAGCGACTCCTCGGAAACCCTATACAGGGTCGCTATGGGTCAGAATCAACTCGCCAGCACTTAACAACATCATCCTGGTGTGGCACTGTAGGATCCGCATCAGAATGCAAACCACAGCACCATAGTTCAAACCCATAAGTTGCTCCTTGGACAGGGTCACTATGAGTCGAAACCAACTCAATGGCACTTAACAACAACATCCCCTAAGGAGTCCCGGTGACACAGCGGGCTAAGCGTCTGGCTGCTAATCACAAAGTTGGCAGTTCAAACCCACCAGCTGCTCTGTGGGAGAGCTACAAGGCTGTGTGCTCCTGTAAAGGTCTAGGCTGAAACACCTAGGGAGGAGTTCTACTCCACCTACAGGGTCACTGTGAGTGGGCATCGGCTTGGTGGCAGTAGGGTTGGTTGGGGGGTTAAATGTCCCTAACGCATACCTCCTGGATGGCTGCTCTGCCCCAGACACATGCCCCCCACCTGCATGGTCCCTTCCATCACCCACAGCACCATTCCCACAGGTGGTCCAGCCAAGAGCCCCAGGGGCGTCAGCAGCTACCCCCACCCTCATCCTTGCTGGCCCCCTCACCTCAGCCCCCACCCAGCCTACCGGATTTCCTCCCTGGACTAACTAATGCACTTGACTGAGCAGTTCTCCCCGTGGCCACCAGAGGACGCCAGCGAGCAGGGAGTTGGCCTGTCCCTGCTCAAAGCCTGCTCCTTCCCGGAGCCCTGGTCGCCCCCTCCACCTGCCCCTCTTCCCTAGTGCCAGCCCCACCTGTCTGTTCCCACCAGGCACAGTCCTGCTTCAGGGACCTTTGTCTGGAACACGCTAACCCTGACAGACTGGGAGGTCTGCTCTGAAGTCACCTATTAACAATCCCCACAGCCGGACAAATCACAGCCACCTTCTTACAGACACGTCTCTCTCCTACCCCGCCGGTCACTAGAGGGACTTTGCCCAAGTCTGGATCTCGGCTCAGGGCTGGCACCCAACAGCTGGGGACCTGATTCCATGAGCATATAACCCCACAGAATTAAGACAGACTGGGTATGTTAGTCAGGTGTGGGTTCTGCCACTTTAGGGCTCAACTATGGTCTCTCGAGAGTGGGAGCACCCAGTGATGTTTGGGGTAAAAAGGGATTAAAAGGGCTCACGTGGCTGCACCCAGCCGGGGTCCTGAGTCCGGAAAGACACCTGTCAGAATTGCAGTGTTTTCTGCTAGCGAAGGCACACACGCACCCCCGCTTCCCAGGAGCTAGGTACCACGGCCCACCCCATCTTAGAGTGTGCCTCAGTTTCTCTGTGCAGCGGGAGGCACTTCCTGTGACCGGACAGGTGAGCGACCCACAGCAGTGACAGCAAGCAAGGGGCTCACAGCCCAAGGCCAGGGTCCCGGACTCACCCTCTAGCAGCTCCACGTGGCCCCAATCCTTGCGGCGGTCGCGCTCACAAGGGCTGGCAGACGAGCTCCTTCTGCGCCCCCCCATGCTATCGAGGGCCCCTGCGGGCGAGACAAGAGTAACTGGGTAGTTCCCGTGGGTAGATCGTGGCGGTGACACTAAGCCAGAGGGGATTCCAAAGTGGACAAAAGGTCAAGGGAGAAGAGTTGCACACACTTAAAGGTAGCTTGCTGTAGACCATAGAGAACAGAGTGGAGCTGGCCATGGGGGCTCCAGAGCTGGAGATCTTTATGGAAGCAGAAGGCCTCGCCCGGCTGGGGCAGCGACAGGTGGGTTTGAACCGCCCATCATTCGATTAACAACGGAGCGCTTTAACCACGGCTAGGTCAAGCTTCCTGAAATCCCCAGTTCTCTACAAAAAAACCGGTCAAAATGCCCTGTCGACCCCGTAAATGGTGCAGGGCAAAGCCTAGGGAAACACGGGGGCGCGTGTCAGGGTTCCCCAGAACCCCACTTAAGCAAAGAGGCAAAGGTCGGGGGTAGCTGGATCTCGGGGTCCCGAAAGTGCAAAGGTCACGGCTGGGGAGATAGCGGGGTAGAGGCCGCAGCGTCGGCCCCAGGCCGTCAGCCCATGCTCGCGTTACCTTCCTCGACTGGGGGCCAGGGGCGGCCCGCCGGCACCAGGGCCCGGCCGAGCCCCGCCGCACCGCGGCCCCAGCGCACTGCCGACATGCCGCACGCGGCCCCGGCCCGCCGCCCCGCGCCGGCGTATGGGGCTGCGCCGCCGCGGTGGCTGCCGGAAACTGTAGTCCTTTGACTCCTCCGGAACCACTACTCCCAGAAGACTGCGGGGCCGGGGAGGAGGAAAACACACGCCGGTGGAATGTTCTGATTGGTTCTTCTCAAGGACGTTGCCTTGGGAACAGGGGTCGATTCTACGGTGTCTTCACAAGGATGCGGGAACTTGGAATTTTTAAAAAGGGGTCTTGTTGTTAGGTGCAGTACAGTTGTTTTGACTCACAGCGACTTTATGCATAACAAAACGAAACACGGCCTGACCATGTGCCATCCTCAAAATCGTTACGCTTGCATCATTGCTTCTGCCACTGTGCCAATCCATCTCCTTCAGTCTTCCTCTTTTTTAGTGACCCTCCACTTTGCGAGGCACGACGTCCTTCTCCAGGGACTGGGCCCCCTTGGTAACATGTCCACAGTCTGAGAGACACGTCTTGCCATCCACGATTTTAAGGAACACACTGGACTGCAAGATCAACAGTTCAAACCCACCGTTCTTCAGAACCCCTATACAGCATCATATGAGTCTGAACCTCCTCGACGCCACTTAACAACAAATGTTCAAGGTTAAATTTTGTTTCTCATGTACTTGTTTTCATTTTATTCAGCTTCAGCCTGAATTGGCATAGGAGCAATTGATGGTGTGAGAAATAGCTTTCATTTGCGGGGTCTATCTTTAGGACTAAGGGAAGTCTTGGGGGTAGCAGATTCAGTAAAAAAAAAAAAAGAGCTCAGTGGAAGGGAAGAATTAGTTTGACTGGCTAGGAACTTTAAAATAACAATACACCCATCAAGGAAATAGGGGAATTTCATAAGGAAGGGAGAAAACTAACTTTAAATGAGAATGCTCCCAGTAAGGCCTAGTTGGCAACCTTGGGAGGAGATTGTGACCTCATAATACCCATTAGAAGGGGAGCTCCCTCCCGGAGGGGCTTTTCCGGGACAGGGCAATAGAACTGTTTGGAGGCGGCTATGTAGCACATCTACCTGTATCTACTGGGTTGTTGTTGTTGTCAGGTGCCATCGAGTCGGAACCAACTCATAGCGACCCCATGCACAGCAGAAAGAAACAATGCCCGATCCTGGGCCAACCTCACTACCGCCACCACACTTGACGCCATCAAGGATGCCACCTGGCTGATCCATCTCGTTGGGGGTCTTCCTCTTTTTTTCTGACCCTCCACCTTACCCAGCATGACATCCTTCTACAGGGACTGGTCCCTCCTGACAATGTGTCCAAAGTATGAGAGACGAAGCCTAGCCATCTTGGCCTCCAAGGAGCACTCTGGTTGAACTTCT